ATATAGCTCTTAATTTCAGTAATTTTTTTTATCATAAACAAAATCATTTACCGCATACTTACTGTAATGGCCTCGGAAATTTAAAATGAAATGTATATTAAAAATATCAAATGCGAAAGCGAAGTCAAAAATTCGATTAACATCCCTTACACTAAAACCAAAAACGTGCTCACAAAATATAAAAGATCAAACTACCTAAAGGAGAAACTTGAAAGTAAAAGCTACGAATATGATTATGGAGTCTTTAGGCGTCCCCTTCGTCGTCCTCCTGCGGAACCGGCTCGGGAACGATGTCTTCCTGATCTGAAATGATTAAATAAGGAATGAGCTACACTAGCCCAGCAAAGACATCACGATATCTCACCGTCACGGAGGTAAAGGTGGGTACAAAACACAAAAAGACCAATGGAGCATAATTTACAAAAAATTCTTTTATCAATAATAAATCCTTCACCATCCACTTACCTCGGTGAAATCCATAAAACAGTATACGAAAGCAATAACATTATCATCATCATGAAATCATATATGAACTGTATAACATAATACTTATCAAGCCTTTTGTAATTCAATCGTTACACAACATATTTTCCTCATTTACCAGCCCACTAGTATCCATGGGGATCCATAGGGGTCCCGCTACCCGTTAATCCTTAACACTTGAAATCAGATTCCAGGGTCGTCCCCATACCCCGTCAGGTATGGGCGCCAAAACTATAAACCTCATTACCCCGTCCGGTATGAGGGTGAAACGGGCCGTCCCCATACCCCGTCCGGTATGGGCGCCAAAACACATAAGATCTTCATACCCCGTCCGGTATGGGAGACCACAATCCCGGTAGGGTTCCCTACGGACCCGGTCCGTCCACCATCTCCCAGGATATCTAGTCAGGCTGACCACATTATACAATTACCCATTTACATAATCTTTCATTATCTTTTTCCTCAGTCAGCATCATTAATCCACATACAAACAAGCAAAACAGTAATTTATGCCAAACAGACAATATACAGCATCAATGTCTCAATCATTCAATCCATAATAAATAAAACAGTAAAATATGCACACGAAACTATAAAATGAAAACATCAAACCTCATACTGCATTTAAAACTGTAAAATAGGTCAAATGACAGTTAACCGACAAACACACTAGACTCGGGCTCCATTAGCGACCTTAAGCAATTTCACACATTCGTTGGTTCAAGAAAATACCGTTTTATCATTATTGAACTTTAATACCGTGATAGGAGATAGGGTGAGGGGTCCTTACTCGTTTCGGGGTCCGAACACGGCTTCACAATGCGCCTACAGCTGTCCCTAAGTTTTCCTGAATTTTTCCCGGGGAACTGAAGCGCACTACTGGTACCTGCACGTGTTCCAAAAAATCCCAAATTAGGCCCAGGGCCCCTTTTTGGCCAATATAGCAATTCCGGCACGGCGGCTCCGCCGTGCTCCGACAGCGGCGATTCGCCTCGGTTTGGCCGTTTTCGGCTGAATTCGGCCACACTTGCATCGATCCTTGCGATAAAACAACCTTAGGGCCCTCGAGGGGCCAAAAAATTACAGAAAACCGAAGCTTACCGGTGGCGGTGCTCTCGGGTGCAGCAGCTCTCTGGTGAAGTTCGTGTTTTGGTGATTCGGCTCTGATCAACCTGTAGAGAAAAGAATGGTGATCACGGTGATATAAAAATTGCATCAAACGGAGGCCAGGAAGGGCCTCATCGGAGGCAAAAACCGAGAAGGGGCGCGGCGGCGCCGCTGGGTTTCGGCCGTATTTTTCAGCCGTTTGGCCGGGATTTTAGCTCCGATTTGGCCACAGGGAAAATCAGCGTGGAAAAATGAGTCGGGGGTATGAAATTTACCTCGATCGACGGTCGAAAATCTCCCCGGTGCGGCGGCGGGTGGCGGCGGCCGACGTCTCCGGCGTCTGGTTCGTCTTCTCCGGCGAGGGCAGGCGGCTAGGGTTTTTGTGGTATGGTGTGGGGGTTTTATTTATACCCTTTTGCCTTTTGATCTCAGCCGTCCATTTTGTTTTAATCTGGGCCGTCCGTTTTTTTATTAAATCTGGGCCGTCCGTGCGATTTCATCTGGACTGTCCGTACGCACACTTGATCTGGACCGTCCGATCGCGCGTACGCGGATTGCCAACGTGGCCCGTCCCCGGTCGACGTGGTTTTGCCACGTGGCAAGTCCTGATTGGCCGGGACTGCTGACGTGGCTGCTGACGTGACCCTTTTTTTTTTTCCTTCTTCAATTTCCCGGGCGTTACACTTACCGTAGTGAGATTTCCAAAACTAACCTATAAAGTCAATAACATAAACAATATCATAATCTCATATGCAATCAGTCGGCAACAATAACTTTCTCTTTTATCAGCCTACTGGTATTTATGGGAGTCCACAGGGATGTTCCCACTACGCATGAACCTTTTTTTAACACTTTCAATTAATGGGCCGTCCCCATAACCCGTCCGGCATAAGTGCCAAAATACCATCCCTCAGTGGCCCGTCCAGCATGAGGGTGAAGCGGACCGTTCCCATATTTCGTCTGGTATGAGCGCTAAAATACTAATGCTCGATACTCCGTCCGGTATGAGACAACATCCACGGTAGGATTTCCTATATACTCAGTCCATCTACCATCTCCCAAAATATCCAGTAAAACTACCGATCATCTATTCACTTAATTAAATAATTTTTCGTTTACCTTTAATTTTCAGTTTTCTAATTAACTATAAATTACGTAAAAAAAAGTAATACATTCATCAAGGAAACACAATCGAATTATCATACCAATTCTAGTGTATTATCATGCATTCGAACTGTAAAATCAATCAATCAAGTAAACATGACAAACAATAATAAATAATCAGTTCCGACTCCATTAGTAACCTGTAATTAATTATGGATATTTTTTAAAATTACACAAAATACCGTATTATTATTTATTAAATTTCAATTCTATAATAGAGAATAAGGTAAGAGATTCTTACTCGAATTGATGACTAAATGCTAAACTTTTGGCTGCGCTTGTTGGTGGTCCCCAGGTTCCCTGAATTTTTCTTTGGGGATTAAAACACGCACCAAATATCTAGAAATACCCCAAAAAATCCAAAATCAGTGTTAGAAACCCTTTTTGGCCAATTTCAAAATTCTGGCACTGCCGTTCGTGGCGGTAGTTTGCCTTGGGTGGGCCGTTTTCGGCTGATTTTAGCCGGTTTTGTACCTATCCCTGCGATAAAATACGTTAAGGGGACTCGGTTGGCCGAAAAATGTCAAAAAATCAAAGCTTACTAACGGTGGAGTTTTTCGGTGCAGCGGCCCCGCCAATTCACCTTCGTAGTTGGGTATTTTGCTTTGGTCAACCTGTAGAGAAAGAAATGGTGATTACAATTGTGAAAAAATTACATAAAACAGAAATCGGGAAGGACCTCATCGGAGGCAATTTTTTCTTTTTCTTGCAGTAGCGGCGCCAGACTTTGCCCATGATTTTCGTCTCATATGCCAGTCCTTTTGCTCTTATTTAGCCATGGAGGTGTTCAAAATTGAATTTCGAGCGAATGACAAAATTTTTACCTCTTTTGGCGTTTGGAAGTGGCTACGACATGGCAGCGGGCAGCAGTCAGCTCCATTCCCAGCGACTGGCTCTTCTTTTCCAACGGGGAGTCTGGCGGCTAAAGTTAGGGTTTGGTGTGAAGAAGGTTATTTATATCCGTGTCCTTTTAATCTGAACCGTCCATCACGTTTGATCTGTACTATCCAATCGCGTTTAAATAGGAAATGAATCTGGATTGTTCATCGCGATTTGATCTGGACCATCCGATCGCGGATACGCAGATCGCTAGCATGGCCTCCTGCGCCATCGCTTCAGCGTGCCTTACCACACAGCGCGCCCTAGTTCGTCGAGGTTGCTGACTGGGTGTCCTATTTGGCACAATTTTGTTAAATTGCATTTTGACCTACAGTTTTCATTTTTTTTTTCAAAAACACAACTAGAACTCAAATTTTCATCTTTTTTCTCAAAATTATTTTCAACTTCATCTTTCAGCTATTTTTCTTCATTTATTATTTAATAAAAATTTAAAAATTAAAAGATTATATTTATATATTAATTTTAATTATATTAAAATTAATTAAGGGTATTACATAATTTTTCATATAAAGACAAAGATACATTATGCATATACATCAATGTTTACTTTTCTTACTCTTTTACATATTCTCTAGAATCTGAAGATGCATAGTTTTTTAAATATAATATAGTTTTTATGTTTAAATATTTAATACTTCATATGTTTTTGACAATTTATAGTAACCCTTTTTCAATATATACTTTGTGAAAATTTTTCTAAAACAATTCAAAATTAAATCGTATAATAATTTTTTCTAAATTAAATCTAAATTTTTTAGAAAGTCGTAAAAAGAAGTAATTAATTTTAATTAAGGTATGTTGGCTCCGTGTCTACATATGATAAACTGTATCTACACATTTTCTTTTTTCAATTTTATTTTCATACCCAAAAAAAAAAGAAAGATAGCGACAGAAATCTTCTTATCAATATGTGAAAAAAATTTGTTACTATAAACGTAAATAAATAAATTACGAAGATTTACTATTTATTATAAATAATTATATCATATTTAAATATTTTTTGTTTTAAAAAAATAGCTTTAACAATAAACAATTATTTTTCCTACATAGAACTAAAACAAATAATTGTTTAATCAAAATATTAAGTTTTCTTTAGTTACTTTATAAATGTTTTTACCAAACTCAAGACTTCTTTAAGCTAGTATTAAAAATATGCATGTATCTTTTACGCCCAATACTTTTTCATTATATCGTGTCACTACTAAATAAATATTTATTAATTTTAACAAAGGAAACTGGAAAAACAATAAACTTGATAAATTTATTAGATTAAATAATGAGTTCCAAATTGCGTAATTTAAAAAAAAAAAAAAAAAAAAAAAAAAAAAAAGGAAATGTATGAACTGTTTGGATCGAAAATGGAGTTAATCACTTCTACTCTTTTTCAGTATAACAACAACATAATATTTAGTTCGTAGGGTACTGATGTTATCCTCTTCTATTTATATGGTATTCTCTTATCTCTACCAAACCCTATCTTAATAGGTAACCCACAAAACATCCACACAGAAAAAAGAGTTCTTGTTTTAAAGAACAGCCATCAGCTGTGAGATCTTATGATGCTTACCTCTGAGATTCAATTGGCTGCAGTCAAATTACCAGATACCAAATCACCGTAGTGTATGTACATCCATCCATCAATAACGCGTTATTTGCTGCAGCATTTGAGATCCACTTGCCTGAGTAACCAACTGCTCAGAGCTCGGTGAAGGTCTTAACAGGTGGTTGGCACCGACAGAACTGTTGTTCCCCTGTCTAATCATCTCTTTGGGATTGTTGGTGTTTGTTTCAGAGTGTGAAGATTCCATCAATGCACGTACCTTACCGAGCAGAAGGAAAAGTTTAATCAATTAATTGGAAGGACTCGTGTAGAACATGCACATAGATCGCAACTTACCATTTCAAGATGCTTCCTCTGGAGATCACTTGATAACTGCATGTTTCAAACTAATGATATTAAAATCTTACATTTGATTGTTATTTCGTTCATAACAAATCTAATATAAATCTCCACATAACATAAAGTGAGAAAGTTTCTAATTTGCTTCATCTCATTAAGCTTGCAGATTGTCATCAAATGTTGAAACACGTTGCAGAATGGAAGAGTACACAGCATAAAATGTGAAACAGAAACAGAGACAAGAAAATCCCAGAGGAAAAGAGAAATTCTTACAGCTTTTGATTCGTATTTTCGCTCTTCACTTGAAAATCCTGGAACAGTCAAATGCCAGTTTTTCTCTGCAGATCATTCGCATAAATAAGATGTTACTGCTCCACTTGCTTAAAGTAAAATGAGATGACAAAAAAACGTAAGGCTAAAAATGCCATCTCTGATGGGGACTTAATTGCAAATATATTTTGCAGCCATAGAACATTTGATGCTGAACATATTGAGAGATAACAGGGGTGCTTCTACCCATTCAAAAGAAAATGAAGAGATTACCAGACATTTATCATTGTCAACATCAGAGAACTAGAATGTTATTTAATTATTTTTTGGAACAACTTAACATAATTTAGTCAACTTCGATAGATTTCTTTTGTTCAAGTGTTAGTCTTTTTAGCTATCTACCTTTTTATCTTTATAATTAGTTCAAGTGAAAATTTAATATCAATTTAATACCTTGTAAATATACAAGCAACTACTTGCTTTAATTAAAATGCAATGGACCAACTTAATACAAATGGAAAAGTATAGGGAACATTTATGAAACACCTCTTTATAAAGAGAAACTACAGAGTAAAATTCTAGATAGCTTAATTGCAAAAGAAGTATGTGACCTTTGACTGCTTTTTCAATTTGGCCTACGACCTTTCAATTGCTATAATCAAATCCCTGACCTTTTATTTTCATTTCAAATTAGTCCTTCAGTTCCTATATGTTAAAACAAGACATGTTTGAACATACCATCACCATGTGATAGCTATGTCATAAAAAACTAAGGACATTTCTGTCACAAGTTAAATTTATGAGTTCGAGCGAAAATTAAATTAACCATTTTTACACGGTCTAGTTTTAAGAGCAGAGAGAGTAGAGCTGGAAGAAATGGTCTTCTATGGGTTAGATTTAGATCTTTTAGATCAGGTAAAATTTTAAATGGAGCATATTGATCCATCTAGCAGCTACGCATCAAATTTGATGGTATAGATGCCGCATAGTGATAACATGGCCAAAAATATGCTTATTTTAGCAAATAAGCTAACTAAATTACTTATTTGAAGTAGAAATGAAAGGCCAGGGACTAAACTAAAAAAGAATGAAAGGCAGAGACCAATTTTACGTCAAGCCATTTCTAGATTGTAGAAAAAATGAGATACGAGTCAAACAAAAACAGCACTTGGTTTTCTTCCAAGGCAAAATTCACACTTCTGACAATCGAACTGATTACCAGAAAGGGGAAAAAAAAGAGTGAGAAGCATGGGCATTGCACTAATTATCAGTGCATTAATTGCCCTTACATAACTTTCAACAAATTTAATTATCTAATTTTTTCTAATAAAGAACAAACCCATTCACTTACTGGATGACAAGGGAAGAAAACCATGTCAAGTATCAAATTTTATCAAACTAGAAAGGATGTCATATCTCCAGAATAGCACAACTCTTCTAATAAATTTGGAGCTCAGAGAGAAAGGTTAATGGAAGCAAAACTATCAAGCCTTAATAGCAAGATTATTATAAAGCAATTGACCTCCCTCCCTTCCCCTGTACTCATGGAGAGAAATTATGACCTCTCCTCCATGTGCATTATAGGCCTAAAGTGGAAGTAGCAAATGATGAAACTCACCAAGTACACATAAAAGAGGGTAGCCCCTTCTTTTTTTCTCCTTTCTTTAATAATATAGAATCTAATCTCTGGCCGCAGCCCAAATTTCATTTAAAAAAAAACGAACAAACAATAAAATCAGTACCATCTCTAGCAAACATTCGTATTATACATACTAAAGGAAATTTTTTTGGAGAAAAATTTAGCATTCAAGACAAACCTAAATGTAGCAAAAGATCCTTGGACTCCAAAATTGAAGATTTCCGATGCTTAGCCAAGCTGCATGCAAATGATGTCACCTGCAAATAACAACATATAAAATCTCTACCAGGATTCCATCAGAAAATGCTAAAACCACAAATACAAACATATACCATATGCGGAAAAGGACAAGAGGACATTATTATACAAAGTAGACAAGGGACACTATGGTAATGTATGGCAAATTAAGATCTGCTAAAAGATTTGAGGATAAAAACCTAGATAACCTAAGGTTTTTTAGTCATCACATCTGAAAAGTCTTAAACACCACACTTAAGGGTTTAATTGCATCACAGAAGCAGAAAACTGGGAAACTTTCAGATATTTCAATGAATAACTAACTTTGTGTCCAAAAAGTGAAATCACAAAGATATTTATAATGCTTCCTAGGTAATTTACTAAATATTATTAAATTAAGAAATATTGATACTACTAATATTCGGAAGTAAAACTACTATTACAAATAGTAAAACTAAATACTAATAAGAACAAAATTCTAAAGTTACTAAACCTATAATAATAGAGACCTAAATACAATAGTTGTATTATACCTAATAGAATAATGGCTTCTAACTTATTTAGGCAATCTATAGTTAATCCATTCTACATCATTATCTTCTATTTGGAGAGAACTAATCCACAAGCTCTGAAGGGGCAAATGATTAAAAATATTGATCTTCGAGCTTTCCTATAAATTTAGGAAACTTCTACTGGGTCATTCCAAAAATAATGGAAACACACAATCGTTTAAGAGTGTGAAACATGGTGTGAAGATGAAGTCAACATAATGATCAATTAGCTCTCACGTTTCTCCTTGCATAGAACTTCCATAGAGTTGCCTCTTAAGGAAAGATCTTGAGCAATAAGAACACGTGGTGGTTCTTCTTGTTCCTCCTTTTTTGGGTATGTGGATGTATATCTTACTACAAGCAAAAGCAAGGTATTTACTTGTCACTAGAAGCTAAATCATCATCCTCATAGGGCATGTGGATGTACATCTTACTACAAGCGAAAGCAAGGTACATAACCATCATCTCTACAGCAAGGTATTTACTTGTTCACTAGAAGCGAGGTACATAACCATCATCTCTTCCTCAGATCTCCTCCTTTTGTTTCATTCTAACATGCAAGTTATTCTTCTTTACATTTGTAACTCACGTATCTGCTCTGTCCACACCTAAAGCAAAAAAGTTTTCTCACCTTCAAAAAGAGTTTGGAAAATTGATGTCAATCCAGCTCCGCTTTCAATGTAGAGGTATCCCTGGGAGTGAATTCCATTACCATAAACTTAATGTTTCTTGGAATTGAATACTTCAAATATCCTTCAACATAAATGGCAGCTTGGTGTATTTGGACTATGGTTGTAGGAGGTTGCTGAATTAACTCTCTTCTAATATCAGCTCTTAATCTTAGCTTGAACAGGGATGTTGGTTGACTATCATCTTCCATTAACTGACACAGAATCTTTAATTATTCATACTTCTGTAGATATTCTGTTATTGACATGTTATTTTAAATTAAAATGTAAGTTTGATCATGAAGTTTGTCAAAATAGTTTGGAGGCAAAGCTTTATATGAAGAGTTGCTTTGATCTCATATTATATTTCAATTGTCAGTTGTCTCTTTCTTGTTAGATTCTTATTAATGCTATACCACCATATTTTTTCGAGTCCAACCAACTTAATTTTAGCAAATCTGACCTTTTGTGTATTTTTATGTCATACCAGTTAAGGTATTATACCTTTGAATTAAATCAACCACAGAAAAAATCAACATCTCTTTTTCTACCAAAATCAGGAGCTTCAACCTTTTCTTTCTTAGAAATATCTCTAACCTTATCTTCAATTTGCTTTTTATCAGCAACTTGGCAACTTTGCAAATTTTGAACTGGTGGAGCTACTTGTGCAATGCATGAGTGTCTTAATTCTTTCAAAATTGTATTGATAGTATTTTGCATTGTCTCAAATCTACAACTGAGTTTCTTGATGGGACTTCAGGGTTCTGCCAATAGGTGAGTTTCTCTTCTGGTGGTAGGGATCGTGTCACCCAGCATTTGACAATGCTCATGAACTAACTGATAACCAGTTTGTGATCTTTAGGGTTCGCGATTTAATGTATTCTGCATCCTCTTTTTTTTTTGTGAATCAGATGGGTCTGTGCTCTTTGGATATGGGGTTTTGATATTTTTGGATGTAGAATCCTTTTAACTCCGATACAAATTGATGCATGACAAATTAAGGACAATTTACCTACTTAGGGATTTATGAAAAAATCCTAGATATCACGCTTAGGATTTTTCAGATATCACATATGGGAAGTTAAACATCATAGTTAAGAGTTTGATTACATTACACAACTAGAAAATTGAGAATCTCTCAAAGTACTTTATTGAATAACTAAAATATTTCTGAAAAAATAAAATTACAAAGATATTTTTTATAATGCTCCATACATAATATTTACTAAGTAGGATAGAATTAAGAATACTAATACTAATAGAATAAGAAAATAATACTACAAATACAAGTATGAAAACTAAATACTAATAAAAATTAAATCCTAACTTCTAAAATTATAATAGTAGACTCCTAAATAGTGTACCAATTTTATATTTAATAAGCTTATGGTTCCTTATTCACCTAGACAATCTAGAAGTAGTCACTTCTGCATCATAATGCAAGGTGCTTATGAACCAGGTAGTCCTCTAAATTCATAGCAGTATTTTACAATTGGGAACTTTTAAGAGGCCAAAAATTTGTAATCAATGAAATACATGTATTCAGTACATAAAGATATTTGCAGAATTGCATATGATATTTTCATGCTTAAATCCTGAAGATAGTGCTTCTTTAATTACTCCAAATACCATTTTTTCCCTCAAATCAGTGCCTCTCATAACTTCCCACACCCTTTGAGAGGTCCAAATAAACAAATATATATCACCTAAAAGTATCTGCCCTTACAAAATGGTCCTGGTGCTGACTCTTCTGTTCTTATTAAGCTTGTTTCAAAGATGATAATATACTAAATTCTGGGTTTACTAAGTACTCTTTACACATACTACCCATGGAAACCTCATACAGAGAAATGCATATCCTTTCCTAAAATTTTTGAAGCATATAGAAAAATTATAAGAGAG